ACAACCCCCCCCCTCACCGTTTTCACAGGTCTGATTGGCCACTCCTTTCAGTATATTGGACAGCGCGTCAAAGTTCGTGACCTCAAACACGTCATTGTCTTCTGACGCGATAGTCTCCAGCTCGGTTCTGTCAGCACCCTGGGAAGTTACCAAAAACACGAAGATGAGAACAAACTTTTAAAAAAAAGTCCAAATCCGGATATCAGATGGGAGAAAGTAATTATCTTTTTCTCCCTTTCTCTTTCTTTTTTTTTCGAAAAAAAGGGGGGGGGGAGCGTGGGGATTTTGCTCATCATAGCGTCAGTCATTTATTATTGTATACATGTGTACACGAAATCAATAGTTAATTTTCAACCACACGTTTCTTTCTTTTTTTCATTTCTTTCGCTCTCTCTTTTTTACTCTCTTTCTCTTTCGCTCTCTACGTTTTTCGCTCAAGTCAAGAAGAGCGTTCATTCCATCTTTGCATCACATACAAAACTATAACTTAAAAGATACAAACAAAAAGAAAGTAATCCAGACCTGAATACCAATAGCGAGAACCACAGCTCCTGCGTTTTTGAGCAGTTTAGCCTCTTCGACAGTGTGTTGCTTGACCGTTGACGCGCCATCAGTGACGACCACAACAATTTTAGTTACATTTGGCCTTGCTCCCAGACTGGTGTCATCAATCTGTTTTCGCGCCATTTCCAGAGCTTTTCCCGTGTAGGTGGCGCCTTGGGACTTGGGCAGCTTGAGAACAGCCTGGGGGGAGTCAACTGAGTTCTTGTGTTTACTGCAGTATTGAGTGTGGGTGGGTGTGTGCTTGTCTAGCTGTGTGTTTGTGTGCGTGCGTGCGTGTGCGTGTGTGTGTGTGTGTGTGTGTGTGTGTGTGTGTGTGTGTGTTTGTTTGAGTTTACACGTACGTTTGTGTGTGTGTGTGTTTGTGTGTGTGTGTGTGTTTGTGTGTGTGTGCGCGTCTGTGTGTGCGTGTGTGTGTGTGTGTGTGTGTGTGTGTGTGTGTGTGTGTGTGTGTGTGTGTGTGTAATTTTGAATTTCACTTTAAAAACTAGAAAATTATTGACAGAATACTTGCGTCTTATGGTGTCGGTTAGGCTCTTAGCTTTTGGTCGCAAAATAAAAATGAGTTCGTTACCACCGTATGGGAGTTTTCTTTTTATTGCCCATTTGTTTGTCTGCAGGGATAGCGCACCTCATGTAGAATGAGCTGGAACTGACAGGCATGGTCGAAGCAGCCCGCCCCCAAAATGATTAAAATTGTGTGAATGAGCGCGCAAAACACTTAAAATACATAGACGTTCAAACGTACTTGCTGCACGTCAGCGTTGTTGGTATAGCTGTTGAAGGAGAACTGTGGGTAGACGTCGTTCGAGAAGGTAAGAGCTCCGACCTGGATGGCATCCGGCCCTATCTTGAAGCTGTCCGTGAGTCGGGAGGTGAAGTTGAGCATTTGTACCCACTCGCTGTCGTCAACACTGTATGACGTGTCTAACACTAGCAGCACATCGGCCTTCGACTGGCAGATAATCGGAGGGGGTGTGGTGGGAGGGGCTGGACAGGACCAAAATATCGAGAGGTTAGTCTTATTTGTTTCAGTTTAGAAGAGTTTAACAGCACTTAATTACATCATAGTGAATAAGTCAAAGTCAGATAAGTGCTGAAACTTAGAGGTCTTACTAGAGAGCAACATACAACGGAAAGGAGAAGTAGAGGTGTTTGACAGGAGAGGGAGCAGACCAAACCAGAGCACCTTCCAACCACTCACCTATATTGAGAATAACAATAATAAATTTGAGGGAAGACAAGATGCTCACAAGTGGGTGAGCATTAAGGGTATGTCAAACTGTACTGCAATAACTGTCAAAATAACGCCATTCTATATACAAAGGCGGTCGTGATGGACGTGGTAGTCGTGGTGGTTATGGTGGTCGTGGGGGTCTTTGTGGTTGTGATGGTGGTCGTGGCAGTTTTAGTGGTGGTGGTGGTCGTGGTGGTAGTCGTGGTGGTCGTGGTGGTGGTGTGGTGGTGTTGTGGTGGTGGTGGT